GGGGGGGGGGGGGGGGGGGGGGGGGGGGGGATGGGGGTGCGGCAGGGTCCGAAAATCGACTCACCCCGATGATGGCGTTGAGCTCCGCCATGGTGACCTGTTTGGCCCTCTCCACTGCCTGCACCACCTGCTGTTGGTGCTGGGGGAGCAGGAGGGGCAAGGGGCAGGCCTCAGGGTGAGGGGGAGGGGTGCGGCCCCGTGACGGAGTCCCCATCCCAGACTAGCATGCCCGCGCTCAAAAGAACCCTTTTTTTTCCATCCCTGAGGCGTTTAAACAGCCCTGCGGCTTCGTTTATTAGCCTTAATTAGTCCGCTGAGCACGGCAGTGAGCCGCGCTTCACAGACTCCCCGTCAGAACGTGCATAATCGCCGAGGAACATTGGCAAGCAGAGCCTTTGCTGTCAGAACTTTTAATGAGGGACTCGGAGGGCCGAGCCGACATCCAGTTTAAAGCTTAAGACACTGACAGATCCAGGCGGGTCCCTTCCGACAGAAACCTTTGAGCTGGAGAGGAGCCGCACTCCTCTCTCCTGAGCGGGAGCCGCATTCGGGGTGTATCTGCTACCACCCGGCGGGAGGCGGAGCCGGTAACCCCCGGCGACGACGAGTACCCACCTCCTGAGACAGGAAGGGGATGATCTGGGCACAGATGGCGCTGAGGCGCTTCACGATCTCGGCCTGTAAGACAGGACACAGCATACTGGTGAGCGACCGTCTCGCTTACCCTCTCCCACCCCCCCGAAACCAACACAGGGGCAGTACTGGGAATAAAGGGGCTGGTACTGGAAGAGGCTTTGTGCACCATCTGCACTATTAGGCATCTGAGTTTCACACTGTGAGACGGTACAAACTACTGTATTGGAGAATGAATGACCTTTTCTTCCACTGGCTGCCTGCGTACACAGAACGCTCTCTGTTGATGCCTGAACACATCGCATCCTCTCTCTCCCTCTCTGCTGTCCATTCTCTCACGTGAAAGTCTGTCTTTCCCTCCTTCCTCTATGTCCCTCCCTTCTTCTCGCAGCTCTGCCTCACCTCGATCCACCCCTCTCCATCACGTAAGGGTGTGTGTTTATATGGGCGGGGCCATCTCCAGCTCTGGCTCCAGCTGATTGGCCCTCGGAGCACCCCTTCTCCTGTCATTCACCAGTTCAACACATATCATTGGTTAATGATAAGATTGCCCTCTCTGTATGAATCACGGCTCCTCTTGTGTCCCTTCTCCCTCTTAAAAAAAATCCTAGACTCGCCCCCTGCCCTCACGCACCCTGGGTGAGGGGTACGGACAGCAGGGTGAGACCTGAGTGTCGCTCCCAGTGCCGCCCCGAGCAGATTCCTCTCATTATGTGGCTCTGAATCCCAGCTGCTGTGGATCTGGTGTTGGCACATTACCATATAAGACGCCGGGCTGTGGACGGCAAACACCGCGGCGTGTTTCGGTGCTCGTCACCTTCAAAATGGCAAAACAGCACAGGCACAGACCACAAAATCCCATCCGTCCTCCCTCCGGTGCCCAAGGTCCCTCTCCCAAGAACAAACTAAAAATATGCAGGACACAGTTTGCCTGGGTAAGCGTTCATTAAATCAATTACTCTCAAACCGGACGAAATATCGCTAAGACAAGAAGACATTTTCAGGTAACCTTGAGAGTAGCGATAGGTCTGGAAAATCACCGGTATAATGATATGGAAGACATGTTTAAGGGATCATCCAAGGAACGGAGCTCGACACTATAGCCCAAACCGGCACGCACAGGAATCCCACCTTCCTGACTGGCTATCCTACAATTTAACAACGATATTATAAATAAAATTAATTTTTTATAAATAAAAAAAGTAATAGTCCCATGTCTGGCAACAACACATTAAATGTGGGCTGATTAAATGTCTGCAGGAATATCTCATTTCAAAATTTTTAATTAAACTCTATTTAGGGGCACTTTCTATTTGCAATGAATCGAAACTTAACGTAACGTGAATGTTTCGGCCACTGGGATGGTAACTAATGATAGCATTAGCATTCGCTAACGATAAGAGTAGTTAGTGGCTCATTTATTTCCGGGTAACCCTCACCGATCGGGCACAGGCGATGCCGCGGACCAGGCGGAGGGTCGGGGGGCTGCTGTGGGGTGGTGGGGGGCTGCTGTGGGGTGGTGGGGGGCAGACACCTGGCCGCGGCCACGGGGGAGTGTGTGCAGAGCCCCTACGCTCTTCCCATCCCGGTGCTGGCAGCAGAGAGCCCGGGCTCTGTGCTAATGCTTATCGCTTTTCCACCGGCAGGCTAATGGAGCTGCCTCCCTCTCTCCACAAACATTTAAAGGCAAATATTTGCAACGAGTGATGGCCTAATCACTCAGCGATTGTGGTCACAGGCCCAGGGGTATTCAGTAACAGCCCAGAAATCTATTGCTCTCCTTTCATCCTCCCACATTCTCCCTTCCTCGATTGCCTGCCCCCCCCCCCCCCGGTCTCTCTAGGCAGTGCGCCAGCCTCTTCTCCCTGGCACCCGACCAGTCACCCACCCTTCCTCATCTGATTGATGGCCTCACGGTTCGGGAGACGAGGAAGGAAAGGAGAGGAGACAAAATACACGAAAGCACCAGCAGACGAATGCAGAAACACACGCTCCATCTCTCTCATGTACAAACACACACACACACAAAGCCATTAGGCACACAGGGTGCAGGATGCACAGAGACACAAAGCCGCATGCGGGCACGTCCCCCACACAAGCGAAGCCTCTCTCTGCAAACACGTGTGCAGACAAATCCCACATTCAATACCCAAAACGCGGACAGAGAAAGCTAGCAGGAGCTAAACGCTACGGCACACAGAAAAAAGCCACACGCATCGATTTATAACAGCCGCACACAGAAATGAGGAGCGGGCGCCTGAACAGAGACAAAAAGGGGCTCCTTTACAGAGCGTCTCCAAAAATGGAGCCTCGCATCCGAAATTCAGCCCTAATCCCCCCATCAGGGATATTTTTAACAACGTCCCTTATTGCCTCTAAAGTAGGGGTTCCCAACCTTTTCATTTTCACAGACCGGTTTACATTGCACAAAAAATTCATGGACTGGTACTAGGTCCATGCATCGGGGTGTGGAGACCCCAACTCTAAATCAATAGGGTTTTATCTCCTCACTCCACACACCAAATCATCCTAACGGACTGGGCAGCATCAAAAGAATAAATCCATAAGACACACAACAGTCTTTTTCAGCAGTACGTACCGAATAGAAACTGAAAGTTCACAGATCTTTTCGTGCACTTAGCTACTTACTAGTGGGAACGTGCACAGTCGCATGTCCCCACACAGGTGGCAAATGGATAACGAGCTCATTATGCTTAAAGACAAACTACACAGGATGTAATCGCTTTTAGCCAAGGTGATGTCATCACCGCCGGCGAAGAGGGACAGCAAGGCACCGTAACACACGTTCACAAACACGGGCACAAACACGGGCACACTCGCCCCAGTCTACCATTCCTGCTGCCCCACATAAACACCCACATCCTAATCTGGCTCCTTAAATAAATGGCAGGAAATATAGCTAAATTCACCGAGATACGGCCGGGAATACAAAAATGGGAGGAGGTGGGGAGAGGGGGGGGCAGACCGAATCCTATTAGGAAGCAAATGGGTTTGTTGAGAGGGAAGGCGTGGGGGCGCAGCCCCAGGATGGCTCACAACCACAGACGATCTGGGATTCAGGTCACAACACACTGCTGAAACTGAGCCAGTATAGTAAATACTACATTATAGATATTCATCCCAAATAAACAGGCATTTACATATATCTGGACAGCCAAAATACCACTGCTGACCATCTGAATGAGGACGGGGGGGTGGCCCACAGATCAGTGGAGAAAGCGGCACTTCGGGTCGGGTAGGATTAGGCACATGTGTTGGATGGTCATGTGACCTAGGGAGAGACCAGTGTAGCAGATAGGCATAGTGCCTCTTTAGGGCTGTCAGTTAGGGCCTGACTGCTTACCAGAAAAAGTAAAAAAAATAAACTAAATAAATCACCATGCATCCCCACCCTTGTTCTGAGTAGGATCTATCCCTGGATCCCATTTGTACCACAAAAAAAAAAAAAACTTTATAGTGAGAATCAGGTCAATGTGTGGAAGTCGCTTCAAGAAGACTCAAATTAGGGCAAAAGCTAAATCAATAATAAAAAGCAGGATTTCTCCAAACATTATAAAGTAAGTAAACACAAAGATGGTAAACAGAGATAATGTACAGCTGACGAGCACAGGACAGATTTAGCCATAATCACCGGCAGCTATGTGACGAGGCAGCCGCCAGTCTACCATGTTCCCCTTCAATCTCAGTCCCAAGGGGAGGGACAGTACCCCCCCCCCCCCCCCAGAGCCAGTCCACCGCTCACTTCCGTGCCATGCAGGTTGCTGCCATGCCAACGGCGGCATGCGTCAACATCTCAGGGGCCCGCAAGTCACCTTGGATGACGGCCCCGCTGTAGTGCAGAGCGAGTGGCGCGGAGGCTGGCTGGAGCGGGTCAGCCACGGCTCACGCACAGGGCACCGCTGCCAGTGGCAGGTCCGAGCCTAACACACCGGCCAGTACTACAGCGGCCATCGGGCTCCATTACAGAGCTGAAGCTGCTGGATCGCCGAGTAAGAAGCGCATCTTACCTGTTTGTGCATTTCAATATTCAGGCCGTAGGACATCTCGTAGTACTGAGGGGAAAAATATGGAAAAGCCATTAAAGCAGCTCAGGCACAGTGCAGTTTTCCACATTCACAGTGCACTTTTCCTCCACATTCACAGTGCACTTTTCCACATTCACACACTGTGTCAGTTGTATAAATCCACATTCACACACTGTGTCAGTTGTATAAATCCACAGAACGCCTTTGCGTGGCACATATTAACAACATAAGCAGCCCTCGTGGGTCTGTCTTTGCAGAGAGGCAGGGGTAGGGCTGATCGTAGCTGTTTTTAGGAGCTGACAAGCCCAGCTGTCCTCCTGAATCCCCTGTGCTGACCCGTGGACAATACCTGTATCAGTTACCATCCTACGTCATGTATGATTACAGCACCGTGGCAACATATTGTTATATTGTTACATTGTGCCGCAGTCGTGATACATATGGCCACACAGAGACTGCAGGTGCAGAATACATAATTCATAATCCATGGCAGTAAATTAGAAATATGTGGGCCGATTTTCTTTAAATGACCAGCCCCATACTGAGGATGAAATAAAAAAGTGATGAGTATTAAGTGCTGAGAAATGAGGACACGGACCATAACACCCCCCCCCCCCCACAAACCAGCCCTGACCTCCTCCCCTCTGCTTCTGTCTGCCCTCCCCCTTTCTTTTTATCAATCCAAATCATTAGTTTCTCTCTGTGAGCCTCAACACTTCCACCCCCCCCCACCATCATGCCCCCACCCAAGTTCAAGATTTTTCAATAACATCCTCCCATTTACATCTTTAATCTGGGTATAAAACCGCAGGGATACGATCCTACATAAAACATCTTTTGTGAGACGGGCCCTTTTTCAGCCGGGCGATCTCAAACAAGCGCGCGATTAAAGGGAACAGCCGATTCAACCTGCTCAGAAAAAGTAAAAACAGAGAAGAAGAGACATGTATAGACAGAGAAAAGGAGAAGGGGCTCCTCGGCTGTGCCGTGCCAGGATACACAGCGCTCTGTCTGCAAGACGGCAGTGCGCTTCAACGAGAAAAGGCTGTTATATACAGAGCGGCCCTTGAAGAGTTAGTATCTGGCTGACCGATGAAAGAGAGGCGGCCATCAGGAAGCTGTGGGCATCGTCACAGATCAGGATCGAAAGGGTTTCTCAACCATCGACGACGTAAATGAAAGTATGGTGTGAGGGTCAAAGGACAATTTATATCTCAAACCCAACTAAAGGACACCTGATTTTAGGGATGTTTTTTTTGGACTGATGTTAGTCATAATCAAGCACAGATTTGGGTTTTGGACGCTATTGATGTGTCCTGACCAATACCGTGGGAGTCCTGTGTTTGTTTAGAGGGGCGTGGGGTTGGCGCTGATCTGTTCCCTTCCAATGTGGAAATCAAACCTGCGTAATATGATAATAAGTTGCACATACTCTAAAACAGGGCTGTCAACACTCACACATCTGGCGTGACACTCACGCTTTCAGACTCTCAATCTCACGCAAGAAATCTTACGCCGGATCTATAATATTCCATTATAAACTTAAAATTAGCTGCACCAAAAGCGTTACAAAGCAAACCCTACAAGCAAATCAAACTACCTGTATATGCGTATGTGTCTGCTATAAGGTGTAGCCAAACGTCAGCGAGAGTCACTAAACCTTCTCTATCTAGCTAAACAGCCAACGCAGAGATTCTGTTGCGGTCCTGCTCAGCCAGTGGGAGATGCTGTTATCAAGTCAGTCAACGTCATACGATCTCGGCATTGCACGCTTTCAGCTGTCACTCAGCACAGCACATAAACTCCCCTTTTGTGTTTTGTGTGTTTCGCCCTGTCAGTCTCAGTGCTCAGTGTGAGGGAAATGTCTCCTGGCCCACCTCCATGACAGCGGGGGGCGCTGTCCCACTGACACGTCAACACTGTGTCTCCGGAGCTCTCCTTTTTCCACGGGACTCTAAGTGTGTGTGTGTGTCGTCTGTCAAGGTGTTTCAAAGCTGGAGAAGCAGGTTCTTAAGCTCTACCATTGAACCAATGCAATTTGCTGGCTTTAGTCCATGTCTATATTCAGAATGTCCCCAAATCATCTATTCATAAATGTGTAAAATCTTCTACACAACAAAATCTAGAAGGACAGGAGATACTCAGTGTGCTGTAAAGGTTTAATGGAAACATTAACTGTTCTCTCTAATCCAGAACTGCGACTGCATTTTCACCCACTGAGCGTTTTTGCGTACGTTGCCCCTAGTGAGTCACCCTCCACCTGGAGAGGCTATTGCCGTCATCGTTTATCTAATGGGGGGGCAGCCGGCTGGCTGGGGTCAGAGGTCAGGGAAGCTGTAAACAGCAGCTGGTCTGTTTGTCCAGGGACCATGGTGACGTCTTTGAAAGAGAACGCCCGTATTTATTGTTGAACGTTATTAGATATACAGTTATTGATGTACTTTAAAAATTACATTCTTAAACACTGACATTATTCTGTGGTTACATGTGTATATCTACCATGTGGGCCAATGTACTGGTAGGTTTTACAGGTGAAGCATATCAAGTCTGCTATGGGTAAAACATACTTCGGGCACCATATTTTAAATTATGGGTTGTCCTACAGACAGGCTACATTCACAGTAGAGAAACCTACTAAGTGCTGCAGTTGGGGGTCCGTCAGCGTACTCATGGTATGTTAGTGCTCATTTTCCCAGAACGCCTCTAGTCGTGGACCTTCGAAACCACATATTGTAAACTCACAGTCACTAAAACAGACTGTTTTAGAATAATCTTTAAAATACCAAGAATTAGAATTTAACAGCATGCTTTTCAGTAATGAGTAAACGACCCAGGCAATATTTCTGAAAATATCTGAGCAGCACTCACATGTCAGCAGACAACCCAGACTTATCCGTGACGGGTTTAAGTCTCTGAAAACAGATGCGATCCTTTTGTGCATCTGGCTCATGTTTTCAAAATCCCCTAAATCACACTGTTGTATGTCATGGGAACTTAACGCTTACTGGGGGAGGGGGGGCACGGGGCAATTATTATCATAACTGGTCTCCTGCCCCTCCCTCATTGCTCAGGACAAGGTTGCTGGAGTGAGGGGGGGCAGTGGGGGGGCATCAAAACGCATTGGAGAGACGAGCTGAGAGTCCTAAACTAACCTTCCCTTGTCCCCCCCCCGCCGCAGGTTCCCATCAAAGACGCAGGCTGTCAGGGGCGAGTGACCACGCGGTGTTGCGCCCCCCCCCCCCAACCCATCTTAAGCACTACATCCTTTCAAACACCGATATACTCACACCTATGCATCATACAACCTGTGTGTGTCAAACGCGCCATAAGCTCAGTGTATTGCCTTTGAACGGGAAGCCGCATGTAGCGCCAGCTGTACCCGCCCGGTATCGGCCCACTCATGCCCCGTTTCACCGGAATCTGAAGCGTCTCCTCACTGGTACCCAGCTCCCAGCTCACACACGAAATGTGCAACATGCTCAAAATGGCTTCCCCCCCCCTCCACACCGCGCTCAAGTCGGGCGTTCCTACAGACCCAACAGCCTGCCTCACCCCCCCCCCCCCCCCGATTATTCCCACGCGTGTTTACAAATCCACCGCCGTCCCACCGTAAATTATCCGCACAAACGTGAAGAGGAAAGGACATCCCGTAGCTGTGTTTTTAACGCAAAAAGGAAAAATGGATTTTAAAATTTTAAATCAATAAATGGAATGCCTGTTGAAACAAGTCTTAGCGCAGACAACAGGTCTACGTGACTAAATATATTCCTCTGAGTTATCTTCACTCTGGAAAGCAGTGAGTCATCCTTACACTTTATTCACGTGTCTGTGTCTGCGCTACCCCCCCTTTCGTCACACATACATACATCTTCATGCGTGTACAGACTCCCACCCGCCACGCACATGCAGTCAGCACTGCATCTCGTCCGAGCTGCAGCATGCTGTGTACAAGGGAATACAGAAACGAATCCAGTGAACTAATCCATTGACAAGCCAAATTCTGCACTGAACTTTGGTCCAAATCACTGGGCTATAAAAGTTTCAGTACTGTTCTCTCATAATAGCAGCCTTCGATTGCCAAGTCTTTTTTTAAACAAATACGGCAGTTATCATGCGTGATGTAGGTTTAACTGTCGATCAAATGCCACAAATTGCACCTCTCTGATTATCGGGGGGACAGGGGACCCCCTTGGGACACTATTAATGATGACCAAAGAAAGCTGGTTTGCACTAGGTAGACAAGACAGTGCAAAATTAATGATTTACAAAAACCCAAAATAAGTCTACATCTGGCTGGCTTCTGTATTTTGATCTAGCCAGCTAATATTAAACTGTGTGGTATTAGGCGGGATAATTGCATTTTATTCTGGGCTGATCTGTCTGTTTGTATACTACAGTTGACTCATAATACATAAAGTATCCCATCGCCTAAGGAACACAAATCAGCCGAGGCTGCAGAGATACAAATGCATCTGTTATTTTCATACTCACTCTGTCTCTTAGAACACTCACTCTGATGTAACGCATTCCAGTTTCCCCCCCCCCCCCCCCGTATTTAATAGTAGTAAAGACAGCCCTGATCAGAGGCCAAACCACAGCTGTATTAGGAGCCGTCTGGGACAGTCGCCCTGAAGATGGCCTGTCCCTGCGAAGGGCTGGATCACGCGCGTCGAGCGCGGCACTCACCATGATGTAGTGCCGCTGCATTTCTGTCTTCTCGCTCGCCAGCTTCTCGCACTCCAGCTTCAGGCTGAGGGACACGCGGCAGAGACGGCCTGCTTCATTATGACACGACCCACACGCTGTCCCACCTGCATCTGCTCTCTCTCTCTGGGCCCAGACCACCAGGACCTCCAGGTCAGCCATCAGAGGTATTTACCACAAACGTTACTACTTATTGCCCAAAGGATTTATCCATCTCGTGTTAAAAGGTTTTTT